CCCGGAAAACAAATGCTGTAGTCCAAACGAGCCGTTCGTTGTAGTTCTTGAAAAGGGATTTTTAAAAAAACTAAATATCTCCCTTTGGAGTGGACTTTGAGATTTGTAACTTTTTAGATCTTTTTTATGCCCAAACATACACACTACACACTGACTAAAATTAAAAAAGTGAAAAAGCATAATAGGACCCCTTTAAACAACCAGTCAGAACACCATCACCACACTCAAACAACTGTTCAGAACAACCACTCAGAGCACCTTAAGGCAGGAATACACAACACTTTTAAAATCTGAACAGATAAAAAAATTAAAATAAAAAAAACTGGGCATCATACACTTACCGACTTTGTAAATAGCCACAGATAAAAAATGACCATCATACACTAAAAGATTGAGGATCATACACAACCAGAGTTAAAAGTTGGGTAACACTTTAGAATAATGGTCCGTTGTTAACAAGTAACTATGCAGGAAGTAATAGGTAGTACTACATTAACACTTAACTTAATACTATTAACTAATAGAGAAGCGAGATTAACTAAGCAGTAAGTAGTAGCAAATTTAGGACAAAGGTAGTTCCTTATTAGATATTTGATAATTACAAAAAAATATATATCCTCATTGAGAACTACTTGGGAACTATGACCAATTAATAAAGAATAACCAAAAAATTACTAATCACAACAGTAACATCTTAAAAGTGAACAATTGGGTTCTTTGTGGAAACTAATTTATGAATATGATATTCCCCAAATAAGTTGGCTACAGGTTGAAATTGTGACTACTCTGCCATATTGGACTAGTCAAAGCTGGGTCATGAAAACTTCCGTTGTACTGTGTGTCTTCATTCGTAGTTATACGCATGTATGCAATCAGTCCATAGCTTTTTACAGTTCATAGGTTTATACAATCACAGGCTGTGCAATTTTGTGGCATCTTGGAAAACTTGTTTTTTACTGTGAGTGACGACGCATTGACTTTTCCAAGATGGCGGATGCGTCAACGTCTCTGGAGTGGTCAAATGTGGCATCTCTGTATACGTGTCTATGGTAGCAACTGCATAGAAATGCCATGGCAAACACCCACAACAGCCTAGCGTTGTGGTGATGAGATTTGCCCGGACTAGCACTATTCACAGTTCTTCAGAAAATGTAAATATATGGCTCTTATCCTTTTTATATCATTTAAAAATGAATCTTTGTTATTTCAGAGTCCATGGTCACTGCTGTGACTCAGAAGGCCCAGGAGGAGGAAGAAGAGGATGATGAAGATGAGGAAACTGGCGAGAAGTTTGAGTTTGATGACAGCGAAGACGAGCAGAATACAGTGGAGAACTCTGTTGAGACTAAAGAGTCAGGAACTCCTCATGAGGAAGCTGAGCATTCAGAGAATACTAATGGTAGCACTGCCACAAATGCACTTTATTGTCAAGCTGTGAAACATGTCGCACACCATAATCAGCAGGCAGTAAACGGAGGGACCCCTGCTGGTCTGGAGGACCAAAATATCCCCACACATCCTCGCACAACATACCCAGGTTGGTCTGCGGTATGTGTTAGTCTAGTCACATAGTTTTTATGTATATCGTATATTAGATCACCTCACTGATTCATGAAACATGGGATAAAACTCATTTTTGTAACTTATTTTGTTCCTGCACCCAAGAATCTGTGATCTGTTTGTTAGAAAATTAAAAATGAAACATACGTTCTGTTCTCCCTGCAGAGATGGTGGCCAGACAATCTCCTGATGGGTAAGAATGTTTGTGTGACAGATTTACACCTTATGTGTTACGCCTCAAACATTTTCCACTTGAACATCTTGATCCTTATTATTCCTACAGGATGTCATTCATAGAGACATCATAAATCTTTATTGGCTTACTGTTTGAGGTGTTTGTCGCCCAAAGGACTCTATTATCCATTGTGTCTTAGCTGAATAGTCCTATGGTTGAATATTTACCTTTTATGTGAACACATTTCTTACTGTATTAGTTATTAAACTACTAGCTCTGGCTCTAGTGACATCTAGTGGTAATGTGATGTGACCATTGCACACGGTGACTGATAAGAATAAACATGGAGGGGCAGTATTTCAATATTTTTGCATTGATGTTTTGTTTTAGGAGTTCCATCTCGGCCGAGCCTCAAGTAGCAGATGAACAAGCAAGCTTTTGGAAAAGAAATAACATTTATGAAGGTATTATACTTATAGAATATCTCAAGTGTTTGTGGTTATAAATGTTGTGAGATGAATCTATTTAAAGCAGTCTACTTGGATTAGGTAGACGTCCCAAAATGTGTCACTCCCAGAGTCCAAATACCCAGCCGGCTAGTGACTGACCGTCAGCATTGAAACGTGGTTGAAATAATGCAAGTTCTTGTTTCAATGTTGAGAATATATTGAAACAGTGTTGAAAATGTAGAAAAAAGGCTGACACAAAGTTGTTGAAAAATTCTAACAACATTGAAACCACTTTTAAAGGTTGTTGTAAAAAGGTTAACAAAATACTTATAAATCAATGATGAAATTGTAACTTCATAAATGTAAGATGATGATACAATGTTGCAATATCAACGCTGATTCCCAAAATGTGTCACTCCCAGTGTCCAAACACCCAGCCGGCTAGTGACTGACCTTTAATGTTGAAATGCGGTTAAAATAATGTCAGTTGTTGTTTCAATGTTGAAACTGTGTTGGAAATATTGAAACAACGTTGAAATAACGTTTAATGCTAGATGTAAAAAAAAAAGGTTAACTATATTAGATCAATGTTGAAATTTTAAAAATACATTGTAAATATGTGTTGATGCAACATTACAATATCAACATTGATTCAATCAGTAAAACAGAAACAAAGCTCAGCTGTGATTCAACCTTCATCCAGACAAACGTTTGGGAATAAATGCTAGCTGGGAAGGCATTTCAGTGCTTAAATCTGACCAATCTGTTTGAAAATATATCTCCAGGTTCACATTATGGGCCAGAGTGCCTCTATACAGCTATCCAGAAGTCTCCCCACAAACATGCTCAGACAGGTTGGTGGCTCTGAGAAGGGGCTGTGCCATGCTTTCCTGTAAATCCACATTAATGCACAAATCAGCATGGAAATCAGAGATCTGAAAAATAGCAATGACTAATCCAATCCAGACCCACAGGAATCTCACGGGAAAGAAAACAACACACCCATGCCAAATGTCCACACTTGGTTCAGTCTAATAAATCGGATTCTTTGGAGATTTTTCTTGAAAATTCTGTTGCAATCCAGTCAAATAACACAACAAGTGATCGTGCAAACAAAATCATACAATGAATATAAAATCCTTTGTCAATATAATTAATTTTCCTAAATTGTGAAATATGCATTGGAAAAAAAATGTATGCATGTTCCAAATACTTAATGTAAACTAACAAAATTACTTGGCATCATTTTGAGAAGTCCTGGTAACATCAACAATTCAACAGCCATAGTAGAAGTGACTTCAAAGCGGTGTCCCTTGGCTGGTAAACAGTCTGTGCTATGTGTGTGCAGCCCCAGTTCACTCTCAGGAATGGTTCAGTGTGGTTTCAGAGCTCACTCTGCGACTGCATAAAGGTACAATCCCCACTCCCTAGGACAGTTGGAATAGCTGTGCCCTTTTTGTATTTGACTGTGATCATATATAGATCTCCTTTTTCTATTACACGGCTCTCTGGAATACTTGATTCTGATTCAGTCCCCACCCTCGGCCATTTTATATTTCCTAATATTCTGTCGCCCATGGCAATACTGTATCATTTTGAGAAGTCCTGGTAACATCAACAATTCAACAGCCATAGTAGAAGTGACTTCAAAGCGGTGTCCCTTGGCTGGTAAACAGTCTGTGCTATGTGTGTGCAGCCCCAGTTCACTCTCAGGAATGGTTCAGTGTGGTTTCAGAGCTCACTCTGCGACTGCATAAAGGTACAATCCCCACTCCCTAGGACAGTTGGAATAGCTGTGCCCTTTTTGTATTTGACTGTGATCATATATAGATCTCCTTTTTCTATTACACGGCTCTCTGGAATACTTGATTCTGATTCAGTCCCCACCCTCGGCCATTTTATATTTCCTAATATTCTGTCGCCCATGGCAATACTGTATAATCAGTCTGCTCATACTGGTAACTTAAACCGGCGCTACATTCATGTCTCTCGTATCACGGCAGACTTGTTCTCTCTTGCAAGATGCAACTGGCACCTTCTTTTTTCTCAGTTATTGATTGTATTGATAATTACCTCAGAGGATTTACATTTTTTATATTACTGTAATAGTTGCAGTGTTCGTCTTGCTGCTAAGCTGATTGTTTTGTATGTTATAGTGGACCATTTTAATAGCGGAAACTTTAAGATAAAAAACAACTTGAATAAGAATTTTATGTCCAAGTACACTACCGTTCAAAAGTTTGGGGTTGGGGCTGATAATAGTTTATGATAATAAAAGTCTCTTATGCTCACCACGGCGAGCTTATTTGTTTAATAAAAAATACAGTGCAAGCATTAATATTGTGAAATAGAAGTAGAAATTGAAAGATAAATATTTGTAACATTATACATGTCTATGGCACTTTTGATAAATTTAATGCATCCTTGCTAAATAAAAGTATTAATTTCTTTAAAAAAAACGGTAACACTTTACAATAAGGTTCCATTAGTTAATGTTAGTTAATGTATAAAGTTCATTTATTACAGTATTTATTAATCTTTGTTAATGTTAGTTAATGAAAATACAGTCATTCATTGTTAGTTTATGTTAATTCACAGTGCATTAACTAGTGTTAACAAGCACAAACTTTGATTTTAATAATGCATTAATAAATGTTGAAATTAACATTAACTAAGATTAATAAATGCTGTAGAAGTATTGGTCATTCTTAGTTCATGTTAACTAAAGTAGTTAACTAATGTTAACTAATGAACCTTGTTTCATTTTTGGTGTTACCAAAAAATCTTACTGACCTCAGACTTTTGAATGGTAGTGTATTTATTTATTTGGTCAGTAGCCGTGTAATAATAAGCGGTCTATTTTGGGATAATAACCAGCTGACTGTACGTTATCCCTTATATAGAGCATAGTTAGATCTGTCTTGGTCCCTTTAAACCCTTTGTTGACCAACATTCAGGAATAATTAGCAACCCAGTCAAGTCTTTTGTTTCAGACTGTTCAGACTATTTTGGCATCATAGTACTGAAGATTTAGACTATAGATAGATGTATTGTAGTGCACGGTATTGACACTGTAAATACAGGCTCTTGCTGTGTCATGACTAATAACCAGAACTGGGTTCTACATCCACTCCCTGCTTAGATCTTTGTGTCTCAGTGTATAAACATTTACATATGTGCAACATCACACTGACAATCATTGTCATCTACAAAGTCACATAAAAATATCCCGGGTTCAATGCAAGTAAAGCTATATCAATAACATCTGAGACATGATGTCAATTATTGCAGAAAATCATTTTGAACCACACGTTGAGAGATTTCTGTGTGCCAGAAATGCAACTGTTTCCCCATAGATTTTTATAATTTTTCACACATTTTTACAAACTGCGAGATAAGAAATTATTTTCTGTGGTAAACAACATGCTACGGTTGCTTAACTTGGGTTTAACCTAGCATATTCCCAGGAAAGATATTTATATTGTACTCCTGCTCCTAATTAATGTGTTCTCAGAATTTTAAATGATCTCCCTCTGACATCCCAGACAGAAGTCTCGATATATCCTTTAGATATTCAGAGGCCTAAACATTTCACTTTGAGAAATTTTAAGTTCCCATGGGGGAGATTCAGCAGGCGACTTCATTAGGTTAAAAGAGGTTGTCAACAAATCTGTACACACTGTCACAGTACAGACAAGTCTATGTATTGTCAATCCGCCGGTCGTGTAGGAGTATGTTTGTTATTTTGTAGCACTGTTGTCAGAATGCAAGCTCAAATCTAAGTCAAAAGGATTGTAAATGTGCTTTTCTGTGCTAATCAGGGCTGAATTTCTTTGGCACTCAGTTTCTCAACCTGCACTGAGCTCAATACCTCGCTGAAGCTCTGATGAATGATTATCAAATGATGTTTGCAGTTACTTGTGCTTCAAGTTAGATGCTAAACCCAATGTCCAGCCCACTTAAAGTAGTATCCTATCCTTTTTCTTTTGTTATTCGTGCTTAGAATATGCTCAAACATCTAACAAACACTTCTATTAAGAGTCTCTTATTGTTTATGTAATAAAGTGTATGTAGAAGTTTTTGTTGTCACTATATGAATGACACTCTAGGTCTCTCTCCCCAAGGGAAAGCCGTTCCTGAATCGGATGAAAATTTACCCTCTGAACAACTGCAGGAGAACTCCGCTCCTCCTGCTCGCTCGGAGGTCATCTACGATGATGTGCCTTGTGAAAACATCATGCCACCAGATGCAGGTCAGCGTCTGTCTATGGGCATCATCTGTCCAGATCAGTAATGTCATCACCCATAGGGAAATTCTCACTTGAGAGCTATTGAATGTCTCAAATGTTTCTTCAAGATAGCAGAAATGGAGAGCATTTTATTTATTTATTTATTTAAAGTTTTTCTCATAATCTCATTACGTTTCTACTCTGTACTGTGGTAAAATGAAGGAATTTTCTGCATTGATTTTTCATTATTTTGAATTATACATTACACTGTGTTGTGTTTTAGGGTTGAAGGAAATATCCGTAACCTTAACAAGAAAAGGTACGGGTAATTTTCTGCCAGGGCATTATCTGTTTTTCTACTGATTAGATGACCGATGTAGAGTTTCAAAAATGTTCCGAACAGTGAATAGATTTGCCAAGATATCAATGTTTACAACCAAGAATCAGATTTCAAACATTTCCATTTCCAAAATTACCAAAGTCAAACTATCTGGCCTGTTATATCTGCATTAAAAAAATTTACATGAATGCTCTAAGGAAGGTGAGCCTGAGAAAGGTAGCCAGCCTGGGCCATTGAACAGAGTAGTTGAACCCACTAGGGGCATCCATGAGTTATGAGGAGGCCATGAGAAAAAAGTGCAGGTGGTAATAAAGTGCAAACTCCAAGCAATAAAATTTCCCTTGAGCAATAATTCTACAAGAAGTACATTCACATTGCAGGCAAAGATTTATTTTCACCCTGTAGTAACTTGCCTGTACCAACCAACACACCTATGTTTCCAGTTTAGATGTATCTTGACTCAGGACATCTTATACTTCCTCCTACCTCATACAATTTTTTCTTGATTATTTTTCAGAGGATGATGTGATCTATGAGGAGGTGCAGAGGTCTGGCGAGCCCGGGCTGATAGACAACGGCTGGGGCTCCAGTGAGTTTGAGAGTTACGATGAGCAGTCAGACAGCGAGACCAAGCAGCCCACTCGCAATAAGGTACAAATCCACTGCCCACTTATTATCAACACTTTCTAAATAAGTAATAAAATGAATAAATGAGATGTTGTGCATTGTTGAAGGGTGGTAGTATACAATGACTAACAAAAGTCAAAAGCAATGCTGCCCAGCATTAGCTCAGCCGGTGGTGTGTGTTTAGAGGCGGGGCTACTGATTTGTGTGACCAGTGGCAGATAGGAGCTGTTTGAAACCTGTTTGAAAACAATCATTATTTATGCTAATTCTGTTCAGTGATGCTAGTAGAGCAGAAATTACACACTTCAACTTTAAAAAAAGGAAAGGATTTTTTTGGCATTCGGTTTCTTTCAGTTCTCCTTCCTTGCTGGGTTTACCCTGTTCCTGTTCTTAGTTAATGTCTGTTGATGCATGCCCGAGAGGTCTTAATCCGCAGATGTTGCACGTCATGCATGAAAACAGGTACAGAAAGCCTTAACTAGACTAACCAGACTTGGCCATATGCAGTCTGAACTTGGGTACTTCTATTTAAGGAAGAATTTGTGAGTAGTAGAGCTGTTTAAGTGGGATATTTTAGTACCGTGAACCGAGACAGACAATCTCTGAGGCTAAATCTCTGGTCTTCTTCACGCTGTTATGTCTGTCTTCAGTTCCCACTGTTGTTGGCCTTGATGTTATCTCTGTCTGCCTGTGCTTGTCACTCTCTCAATCTCATTATTTTCCTCCTTCTCCCCTCTTTATTGCCATCTTTCTTTATGCACTGATATATTTCAACCCCACCCCCCTCCCGTACCGCCCGTGGACATGGCTTTGTGGTAATGGATATAGATTTCCCCAGATGTACGACGTCTGAAGCAACGCTGCGTGCAGACCAGGCGTGAGCTAGCCATGCGGTTAGGGGCTCGAGATGTCGGCCAATTCAAACATAGCTATGACATTAAGGTACATTTATACAGTGGTGGGTGTATGGTAATCACTGATTCTTGAGACATGGGACAAAACGTCAACTTATGAATGACCGTGCTTATATTTTCTGTCATAACTATGATATGTCAACTCCATAAAGGAGTCGTTTTGGATTTTTATAGAATTTTAAGTTTGTCCTATTAGTAGTTAGTAACAACAGACAAACAGATGTGTGGTATTCAGTAATAATTCTTAATATATTGAATTTTTTTAAAGAAATACTTTTATTTAACAGGGATGAAATAAACTGATCAAAAGTGACAGAAAACGTTTGTAACATTCTAAATGTCTTTACTTTTTTGGAATAAATGAACTTTCTATTCATCACAGAATCCTGAAAAAATGTATTATGGTTTCCATAAAAATATTAAGCTGCAAAGCTGTTTTAAGCATTGATAATAAAAATAATATTTCCTGAGCACCAAATCAGTATATTAGAATGATTTCTGAAAGATCGTGTGACACTGAAGACTGGAGTAATGACTGCTGAGAATTCAGTTTTGCCATTACAGGAATAAATTGCATTTTAAAATATGTTAAAATAGAAAACAGTTATTTTAACTTGTAATAATATTTCAGAATATTACAGTTTAATTGTATTTTTAATTTTGAGAATTGATGAAAATAGGAGACTTCTTTCAAAAACATGACAAGGAAAAATGCACTTGGAAGAAGCATTAACGAAGCTGTGCAGCGTGTTTTGTCTCAGTTTTAAGGATCAGTGTTATATTACACATTAGAATAAATCTAGATTATGTAGATTTAGTTGCCATTTCAACTGTTCACCAAAATTCATATACAGCTACTAGTTATAGTATTCCATCAGGCTAATCATTGAACAATGGAGAGTCTTTTTTTTTTTTGTACAACGAAAATGAAACTGTGTGAATTCCACTGAGTGTTGCAACTGAGCAGAGAGGGACCTTGAGGGTTTGTCCTGGTGCTGCTGAACACACTGATCCACAAACAGGAATTTATCTCTTCTCTTTTAGTTTTGCTGATTCATTTTGTTCCTTGCTGTCATCTTATGCGCTTAACCAGTCTCTCTTTCCTCCCGTAGGTTCAACAGCTCATGAAAGCAGCTAGGAATGGCACGAAAGATGGACTGGAAAAGACCAAAATAGCCATGATGCGCAAAGTGTCCTTCCTGAGTAAAAAAGACTGCACAGGTTTGACTTTTTGACTCTCATTTCCTCTTGTTAGTTTCTGGTGGGGTTTTTTCTGACACCTGGTAGGTTACAGTACAGAAACAATACTAGAGACTATGCCTCTTTGAAAGTTTTGAATGTTTAAGTTATTCTGAGATGGCAAGTGGCATGAATTATTACAGAGCTACAGAATAGTGTTTACCTAGAGGGAGAAGTGAGCCGAGATGGAAGGTATTGGAATAGTATGTGATGTCAGTGGGAAAGAGGAGTTTAACTGTGCTTTTGACTGTCAATGTGCAGATGACATAGAGGAAGATTCTGGATATCTGGATGTGACTGTATCTGAACTCAAACATCCACCACCTCAACTTTCTCCAATGCCAGAAGGGCTCAGTAGCCAACAGGTGCGTGTTTCTATGTACTTATGCGTGAATCGGCCTGCATTACTGTCAGTATCATACTTGCCCTGCTCATTTATGACATATTTACATACACCACCTTAAAAATATTTGTAAGATTTTTTTCATTTTTGAAAGATATTAACACCTTTATTACTCAAGGATTCATTAAATTGATCAAAAGTGGCATTGTTACAAAAAAAATCTATTTCAAATAAATGCTGCTCTTCAGTTTTAAAACTTTCTATTCATCAAAGAATCCTGAAAAAAAATATATATGGGTTTTTCGCAAAAATATTAAGCAGCAAAGCTGTTTTCAACATTGATAATAATAATAAGAAATGTTTCTCGAGCACCAAAACAGTGTGTTAGAATGATTTCTGAAGGATCATGTGATACTGATGACTGAAGTAATGGCTTTGCCATCACATGAATAAATGACTTTTAAAAATATATTAAAATAGAAAACAGCTATGTTAAATTGTATTTATATTTCACTGTATTGCTGTTTTTACTGTATTTTTACTGCTGCCTTGGTAAGCATAGGAGCATATTAAGCCGCTGGTTTGCTGTCAGTTAACCTAATTGAATTCAAATTCCTACTTTGCATTATTTTGAATGTCACAGGTTGTCAGGCGTCATATTCTTGGCTCTATCATTCAGAGTGAAAGAAGCTACTTAGACTCACTCAAGAGGATCCTGCTGGTCAGTGACACAATCATGACATTACATATGACTGTATTACTAAAAAAGGATTCTGAATTATCACTTTTCTAATAATGCAAGAAACAGAAATATTCCTCAATTTTCTTAATGAAGTGTAAAGGAGGGCAAAAGTAGGAATAAGGCACAAGGGGGAAAATATACCCTGTTAAAAAAATCGCCTAAAGTGTTTTGCTGGTCTAAACAGTTTAAGCTGGTTAGCCAGCTGGTCCGCCAGCCTGAGCAGCTGACAAGTGCGCAAAACTCCTCTAAAACCATTAAAACGGACCATCCTAACCGTCTTGGACAGGGTGGTTTGCACTTTTTTCAGCAGGGTAAAACAAAACAAAATATATTCCTACACCCTTATCTTATTGTGCTGTTTAAGCTGGAAGATTCATTAATTCTATATTGTATTATTTTAAACTGACAAAAACAGATGTGAATATGTTAATTAAATCAACAGAGAGATAAAACCCAAGCTGAACAATCTGACCAGACTCACTCATACCTACCACCTGAATTATATTTTAGGAATATAAGAAGCCTTTGATGGAGGCGGAGCCACGGATCCTGAGCTTGAAGAAGATCCAGCCTGTTTTTTATAGGCTGAAGGAGATCCTGCAGTGTCACTCCATGTTTCAGATTGCTCTGGCCTCCCGTGTAGCAGAATGGGATAATACTGAGAAAATCGGAGACCTTTTTGTTGCTTCAGTACGTCTCCTGTTGTTCTACTAAAATGTTCAGTTTGTGGTGTGTTTCACAGTTTTTGGTTTTTATGTTCATTGATTTTTCTTTTTTTGCTTTGGTTACAAAAAGCTTAAGATTTCATTGCTTTGCCTCTCATTTTTTTCACACTTGTTTTTGATTTAAAACACTGCACAGTTGCATAGCATTGATCCAGCTGATTTGTATGGCCACATATATAACCTTCACGTTAAGATGAAGATTTTTGCATGAATAAGGGTTGTCAGATCTGCTTATTAGAGTCAGTTGTACTTTGTAATTCTCTGTATTTATACCCTAGCATGACTCACTTTCTTTTGTTTCTGTGATGAGGGATCTTTGCAGATGGAAAAATGGGACATCCTATAGTCAGCAGTTCTATTTAAAGTGTGCTAATTTCCTCTGCATCATGCAGACTGTGCTCTGCAGCTGAGAAAATAATGTTTAAGACAGTTTGATCAGTAAATGCTAAACAATCTTACAACTAGTCACAATGCAAGCACAAAACTCTTACCTGAGTGGTACCGTTTCAAAATAGTAATATCTTTAAAGTACTAGTATGTACAATTTAGGGATAAATAAGGTATAAAGATGTACCTTTTAACTGCCCTAGTGACATCTTTGTACCTTTTTTTTTCCTGGGAGTGTACAGATTACAAAGCATTAAGTCTTGAAGTACATGGATCTTCTGTTATCTTCTGTTCTGTCTGAACTCTGGATTGTTATGTCTGCCACTAAGCTGATCGTTGTTTTCATCTCCTCTAGTTTTCCAAGTCAATGGTGCTAGATGTGTACAGCGACTATGTCAACAACTTCACCAATGCTATGGGTCTTATCAAGAAAGCTTGTATGTCCAAGCCAGCATTCCTGGAGTTTCTCAAGGTGAACTTCTCAACATGTTCCTAATTGTTCACCGTTTTGTTTGGGCAAGCTGCACTTACATTTACACTTACAAGTGTAAAAATCTAGTTCCATTCTAGTTCCCTCTCATTTCCGACCTGTTTTTGTGTTCTTCTGGGCTGCAGAAAAAGCAGGCTGCCAGTACAGACAGAATCACTCTTTATGGCCTCATGGTCAAACCAATTCAGCGCTTTCCTCAGTTCATACTCCTACTGCAGGTTAGTACTCTGAAAGCTCCAAACACACACACACACACATGTTGGTATTGGTGGTTTAGGGGCACTCTCCATAGGCATAATGGTTTTTAAACTGTACAAACTGTATTTTCTATCGCCCTACACCAACCCTACACCTAAACCTACCCCTCACAGGAAACTTTGTGCATTTTTAGATTTTCAAAAAAACACCATTTAGTATGTTTTTTAAGCCTTTTGAGTTACGGGGACACAGGTAGTGTCCTCATAAACCACCTTCATATTGTAATACCCATGTCATTATACAAATTTGTGTCCTCATAAACCACCCAAACCAGTGCTTACACACAATGTGTATTTTAAAGTAAGGTTTTGTCTCAGTGCCTGAGATTTTTATCTCACAAAATAAGACTTTTGGGAAAATGGTTACATTTTGGAGATATACACAAACGAATACACCACATCAAAGGACTAACTCTGTAGATCTAGGAGAGGGAACACACACACACACACACACACACACACACACAAAGCTAAAGATGAATGACAAATAAGAAGTTTAATTTTATAATGGTGGAATTTCCTCAGACTGTTACACATGGGAAAGTGAAAGACAGAGTGCTAGTGAAGCACATTAAATGTGTGCTTCCTATCAAAACCATGATGTGATACTGTGCAGATAATGCTTAAACATGTAAAACTTAACCCTAAGGAAATCCCTTGTGTATGCCGATTACTTACATAAGACTTTATTATTTTACTACAGAAGCGAAAGTCAAGTTCTGCCAGGATTTTTATTTTTTTATTTTTTGTCATTAGGGAAGTTGTGGCTTAATGGTTAGAGAGTCGGACTCGTAACCCAAAGGTTGCGGGTTCAAGTCTCGTACCGGCAGGGATTGTAGGTGGGGGGAATGAATGTACAGCGCTCTCTCCCACCTTCAATACCACGACTGAGGTGCCCTTGAGCAAGGCACCGAACCCCCAACTGCTCCCCGGGCGCCGCAGCATAAATGGCTGCCCACTGCTCCGGGTGTGTGTTCCCGGTGTGTATGTGTGTTCACTGCTGTGTGTGTGCACTTTGGATGGGTTAAATGCAGAGCACTAATTCCAAGTATTGGTCACCATACTTGGCCACATGTCACGTCACTTTAAAAGATCATTCTTACAGTGTATTCAATGACTTCATTTGCATGTAATCTCTGGGGTACAAATGCTGAGGCATTTACCGCAGGCTGTTTCTCAGGGACATTTGAGTTCTTAAAGAGGGTGTTACTTGGGTGTACTATAGCTTGGTTGTTTAAAATGTGTATGAGGCTACAGTTGAAAATGAGTTGAAATAGCTAAACTGGAGCGACTACAAAAAGGCATTGAAATAGCATTAACAACCCTCTGACATACGTCCAAGTGAAACAGGATATTCACTGAGGGTGGGACTCGATTTTATAAAGTAAATAGAGTCAGTTTTCATTTTATGCACACTACTGCCTGTAAATGTTAACTGAGTAAAGTAAATGTCTAAACTGGTAACTGGATTGTTATACGTGTATATCCCACAATTCATGAATTATTGTGGCTTTGAGCATGCCACTTAACATCATTTGCTTGCGTGGGACCATCTTTGCAATAAGTGTATTGTAGGTCACTTTGCATGGAAGCATTGGCTAAATGACAAATTCGGTAGTAATTACTGAATAAATGCAGACATATCTGTCTGTGTTCCACAGGACATGCTGAAAAACACCCCTGTGGGGCATCAGGATAGGCTGCCGCTGCAGCTGGCCCTCACTGAGCTCGAGACTCTCGCCGAGAAGCTGAACGAGCAGAAACGGCTGGCCGAGCAGCTCGCTGAAATCCAACAGCTCACTCGTAGCGTCAGTGACCGTAACCTCAGTAAGGTCAGAGACCACCACACTACAAACACACACGGGACACTTCAAAGCATTACCAACCCAACAACACAATGATTTGGCTTTACAAGATAATTTGGCAAGTAGTGAGAAAGGACATGAGCTGTCAGTGTGATCAAACTGCTATTTTCCACATTTCCTCTTTCCAGAAATAGCTTTGACAAAGATGTTTCCTTGCCAGGGTGGCGGGTTGTCAGTGAAAGTTATTTTAGTAGCAGCTATTAACGACCACATTATATCAAAATGTTTGTGTTTTGTGGCTTTCATTTCATGTCTGTTAGCTTTGAGGTAATCTATCTGCTTGCACAAGGGACCCCCTTCCTAAAATACTGTATAAAGGCAACTATATTTTTTAATATATGAAGGCCCTTTTTCTATACTGTGTGAAAATAGCAATTGTGAAATGATAAAGACAACCTATTGTTTATATTGTCATGTACTGTCAAGCCAGAAGAAGTTATTAAAAGATTATCTGTTTATTATTTACTTCATATTGAGTTAACAGAACATTTTTGTGTATTTCTTTCTAGCCACTAGAAAATAATGTTTAAATATAAACTAGAAAGCAAACATTTTTCAATTGAAATTAATTTGGATTGTATTTACATACATGTTGTTTGCAAAAAGAAATTTGCTTTTATCCTGTCATACTGTATAAAATATACCGTCATTTTAATGAATGCGAAAATACGTTTTTAAAATATTATCTGAAAATTATTTATTATCTGAAAATTATTTACTTTCTATTGAGTTAACTACATATTGTTTTGCATATTTCTTTCTACCCACTATTAATGAGATGTTAAATTATAAACCTGAAGACAAACATTTCCAATTCAAATTTGTCTGGATTTTATTTAGATACAAATTTAAATAGAAAGCAGAATGAAAAACCAGTAATGTCAGATGTAATACATTTTCACTTTATTTAAAAATTTGTTTTTGCACTTTTCCCCTCTGAAATCCTCCCACTTGTGTGACACAAGGAGTTCCCAGACCGTTTAAATGATCTTTTAGCAGATATACACACTTAAAATTAAACTCGGAGTGTTGTTATAGGTAAATTAACTAGAATTCGTTTAGTAATTTCAGAAGGTTCAAGATCTGATCAATAGAAGTTTCTATTGAGGAGAAAAAAGAAATATGATTTCATTTTATATTCAGTTTGTGTTTTTTTTTTTTAGCATTTTAATTAAGCTAGACTGATTTTATATATTAATATTAGTTATATTAATAATAATATATTAAAGGGGTGGTTGATTATGATTTCACTTTTTTAACTTCAGTTAGTGTTATGTCTTCATGTAGACAAGAAGCACAAAATTGTGTATTCCTCTTAGTTAACTTTAATAACTACCATGAACAAGCAGGATAACATGCTCAGCATTCTTTCTTACTCTTCACCCTTACTCCCCAATCTCAATCTCACTCAAGAGGCTGGAGTGCCATCTAGTGGTGCATTAATGTAAGGACATCACAGTTAGTGTGTGATGTTGCTGTTAGAGCATAAACAACGTCTGCAAAGTTACGACACTCAAAGTTCAGTGCAAAGGGAGATCTTTTCTTTTAAAGAAATCGCTGTTTAAGGACTACAAAAAAGGCTGGTAGGGACTACAACGAGCTTCTTCCTGGGTTTGTGACATCACTAACCCTGTTGTTTACATAAACCCTGCCCCCTGGAGCATGCAACTACCCGTAATGGTAAGGGGGCATGACGTTTCCGGACAACGTGCACTAGGCGGTTAGCGAATCACAACACACTGGGCCTGATTGTGTATTTCTGAGGGAGGGGCTTCATAGAACCAGGAACTGGTTTGACAAGAATGGAAACAGCGGTGTAGAATAAAGGCAAAATATCTGAAAATAACGTGTTTTTTTAAAAAACGAAGCATGAACAGGTTACACTGCACAATAAACACAATCAATATAAACACAATCAAGCCTTCGAAAAAAAGCTGATCAACCACCCCTTTTAATTTAGATAATTTTAATTCATCTTGTGACCCCTAGTGGGCCCCTGCCTCCTGGTTAAGAACCACTGCACTAGAGCGTTCCCACTTCCCTCAGCAGCTGCAATGCACACATACAGTATATCTCACCTTCATATGCAAATATCCAGTTTTTGAATCCCCAAATGTTACATCACTCTTACCTCTGTAGATTTGTTCAACTGCGCAAGTGTTTCATTCAAGGATGTTAGAGTTAGGAATTAAATTAAGATGATGAAGATCAATTAAAAGACATTACTTCAAAGTCAAGAGTCTAAACTGAAGGGCACAGACATACAGGTGATGCAAGTATTCTCTCATGGTGTGGATGTATTCATTTACTTTGTAAAACTGTATTTTTTTTTTTAACAGCAACTGAACTCGGATCAGAAGCAGTTGATTCTGTCTGAGACACTGATTGAGACCGTCTATGGCGAGAAGGGTCAAGTCCTCAAGTCTAAGGAGCGCAAAGTCTTCCTCCTGAATGACATGCTCATCTGTGCAAACATCAATGTGAAGTAAGCAGTCCTCTTCACACGTGCACATCACAACTCTGTCCTGTCTTTCATGAGAGAGGTTTAAGCTCATTGCATTATAATTAATGAAGTTGTTCACCCAAAAATTTTGCCATCATTTACTCACCCTCATTCAAACCTTTTTGAGTTTAGCAAAATGTCCATGCTGCTTTTATGTAATGAAAGTACCTGGTGACCTAGAGCTGTCAAGCTTAGAAAATGATGACAAAAGGCACAATAAAAGTAGTTAATGTGACTCATATCCTATATTCCAAGTCATCTAAAGCCGTCTGATTGCTTTGTGTTGAGGAAAAGACAAATTGAAGTTGTTTTTCACTGATAATGTCCTCCTCTGTCTCCAATCTTTCAAATTTCATTCATGTTCATATCCAGCGTGTCAAAACATGTCACATCAGGTTTGACATAATTTCATGTCATTGGTTCTCTGTTGGTTTCGTAACAGATTTCAAATGGCAGATTTAAATATGTACATATGTGTGCTTATGTGCGTGTTTAAATTGCACAAATGAGGTTTGGTGGGGCGAGAGAGAATTTTCTGTGAATAATCTTAAATAAAATGCTGTCATATGGCTTCAGATGACTTGTTATATATAGTGCATGAGTCATATGATCTACTTTTATGATACTTTAATGTCATCTTTGGGGGTCACCATTTACTTTCATTGTATGGAAAAGAGCAGCGCAAACATCCTGCCTAAACTTTCCTTTTGTGTTTAACAGAAGAATGAAAGTCATAAGAGTTTGGAATGATATGAGTGTGAGTAAATGATGACAGACCATTCATTTCTGGTTTAATTAGTATTAAGTAATAAATGAATACAGTTAACTGCAGAAAATTAGAATTCAGTTACTTGCTCATAATTTATGAATTAAGGCCATCTCCATTTTAACTCCCTCTCAACTGACACATAGATACACTGAAACGGGCATTGATAACATCTTTGAGGAGCCAAGGTAACATTCTCACATCTGCCAGGTTTTTTCATTAATGACCACTGGGTCATGCTGTTTTCAAAGACTTCGTATCAGAATGATTTTACACTGTCTTCAAAGTTCTGCTGCATTCTTCAATCTCATCGAACCTTTCTCAATGCAGATCATGCATAACAGAGGAATACATGAATAATAATTTCCTGAAATCACAGTAGGGGGTGTGAGACTCTCTGGGAATCTTTCTGATCACAAAGCTCTAATTGCCTGTCTGATTCCTGGATCTCCGTCACTATCGTTCAGATGTTCTCTGATCATGTATTATTTGTAATTGTGAGTTGGACTTTGTTGTGCAATCTTAAAGTAATTCTTTTGTGTTTAATCAGGGGCCCTCCAGATATCAGCAGCCTAGTCCCTATCGGTCCAAAATACGCAGTTAAGTGGAGTGCCCCACTGCTGCAAGTGCAAGTGGTGGAGGTGGGCCAGGAGACCCCCCAGCGTAAAGACAGCATCTACCAGCAGAGTGGAAGCAAGCGCCTGAGCTCCACCAACTCTCAAGGTTGGCATTTTTAAAGAGCACTCCTTTCATGTGGTTAGAGGAGCATGGGAAAAATAATGAAATAATGAACTTGTTTTTTTGATGTAGTTGGTAAAGCTGGATCATATAGAATAGAAACTTTTTTTTAAATTGTAAATTATATTTTCAAATATTACTGTTTTTATTGTATTTTTAAATAAATTCAGCCTTATATATATATATATATATATATATACACACACACACATATTTTAATATTTTAAAGATTAAATTCTTAATATTTTATATAATTTTATTTCCATTTTAAAAATCAAAAGGATTCATCATTGCATTACTTTTAAGAAATTTTATTTATATTAATAATAGTATTATTTTTACCTACATGTTGTAATATAATCAACCTATCAGAACTGACACTGAATGCTTCTTGGTTCAAGTTGAACATGATTGGATGTGGTGGCTCAAACTAATGACTTTTTCTGTGTTTCATTAAAAGAACTGGCTCATAAGAATCATTTATGAATGGTAAAAGAATGGAAATTAATTAACTGGAGTACACTAGTTCCATTATTTGTATTATAGTGGAGCAGGAAACACTTTCAAATAGTATTAATCTTCAATGTCCTTATAAATTATTGCATGGATTTTTACTGTTCTCTAACACTGGTAAACACAAGAAATTCCAATTTCCCCACAGTTATGACAGCTTTACCTTTAACAAATCACTGTCTCTGAGCTAATATCAGTGTGCAGTCCTCCTGCTGCATTCATCTTAGGTTTCCTCAGGGCTCAATGTTAAACCCAGCTCATACTCTCCAGCAGGGGAAATATACACTAACAGCCAGAGGACACAACAGAGGGTCTAATTCCAGGATAAGATTAACCAAAAGTCCTTGGGTTACTTTTTTCCTTCTTTTCTTACATCAGACATTTCAACCTCTTCTCTACATCTTTCCTGCTGTGTTTGAGCTTTCAGCCTGATGCAAATACTGCACAGAATTACAATGTTAGTTGAGCGCAGCCGTTCCATTGCAAGAGTTTGCTGGGGGCATATCATTTCAGTCCCAAAAGATTTAATGGTGCAGTCCTCCTGCTGCATTCATCTTAGGTTTCCTCAGGGCTCAATGTTAAACCCAGCTCATACTCTCCAGCAGGGGAAATATACACTAACAGCCAGAGGACACAACAGAGGGTCTAATTCCAGGATAAGATTAACCAAAAGTCCTTGGGTTACTTTTTTCCTTCTTTTCTTACATCAGACATTTCAACCTCTTCTCTACATCTTTCCTGCTGTGTTTGAGCTTTCAGCCTGATGCAAATACTGAACAGAATTACAATGTTAGTTGAGCGCAGCCGTTCCATTGCAAGAGTTTGCTGTGGGCATATCATTTCAGTCCCAAAAGATTTAATGTGAATATAATTACTGATTATCATGGAAATGTTATTTGTTCAGGAAAGCTGTTTCTGGGACCACCACGGCTGTATCAGGATCTGCAGGAGTTACAGCATGATCTTTCTGTGGTGGAGGAAGTCACATTGTTGGTGGGCACCCTGCAGGGATCGTACCAGGTAAAATCCTTAATCATCCGCAGCGTTGCACACCTGATCAATATCCGACTGCCAGTGAATAATTCCATTCCTAATTTCCTATTAGGGATGAGCAAAACTATGTATTTTCATAGTCGAATAGTCTGAACAACTAGGGATAATTCATCCAAAAATGAAAAATTCTGTTTTCATTTACTCGCCCATGTTATGCATATCATTTGTGAAACACAAAAAATGATGTGAGAAAAGAGCAACAAAATACTTTTCAAAAAAAGTCAATTTAAATGTAAGCAGAATTTCAGTTTTGGGTGAACTATCCCTTTAAGGAAGCCCTTAGGCTGCTTGAGAGATGTTTCCACCAGACACCATTCAGATGTTGCTGAAGGAGTGTTCAAATAGAGGCATAGTTACAAAAAAAACATTGTTTGAATCATGACATGAGAGTATATTTCATAAATAATAATTTATAGTTTCAGATTTGTATTTATAATTTCAGAATTTCATTCATTTTGTATTTAAAACATTCATTTTGTGACAATTTCTGCAGATGTTTATTTTGACTAGCTTTGCTAGGATAGGATAGGATCATTCACAGCCCTGCTTTCATTAACAACAAATGTAATATTTAACATTTTACATTATTAAATATAAGTCCACTCTGACCAAGATCCAAGTGTTGCTGACAGCTATTTTAAATATATACGCTAAACATCTGCAACCTTTTATTGCACAAATCTTGTTCACACAAAAAATGGATTATGCATACTAACAGAAACATTGCTCACAGCAGGCGATTTGAAGTCCGACAGTAATTGTCTTGAAATGTGTTGTTGAAGACAGTGGATTTGTAACAAAAGCTCTGCTATGATGGCTGTAGCAGCGGCACTTTCAAGGGGATGAATTTTGAGATGCAACTTCTCTGAGAGAGTTTACCGCGCTGACAGTTTAGCAGCACGCTGTCAGCATGCTAACACTCTCCACATGAACTTTCCTCTGTAAATCCATTCCTTTTAAAGCACACCTGCTAAAAATATTGAAACCAAAACAAAAAATTTGGAGAAAAGCTGGTCAACCTCACTGATCGACTAGTCGACCCATTTAAAAAAAAGTGAAAGTGACGTGACATGACATGTGACCAAGTATGGTGACCCATACTTGGAATTAGTGCTCTGCATTTAACCCATCCAAAGTGCACACACACAGCCGTGAACACACACACACCGTGAACACACACCCGGAGCAGTGGGCAGCCATTTATGCTGCAGCGCCCGGGGAGCAGTTGGGGGTTCGGTGCCTTGCTCAAGGGCACCTCAGTCGTGGTATTGAAGGTGGGAGAGAGCGCTGTACATTCACTCCCCCCACCTACAAGCCCTGCCGGTACGAGACTCGAACCCGCAACCTTTGGGTTACGAGTCCGACTCTCTAACCATTAGGCCATGTAGTCTCTGTAGTGTGCAACAGTCAACTGCATTCGTTTTCTCCATGGGGAAATTTATTCTTAACAACAATAGGTGAACAGTCTTGTACTGTTGTCTTTTTGTCCGATTTTCAGATACTTTTTTACTTCAAATCAAAGATTGTGATGTTGTTTCACCTCATAGCTGGTGGGTTTGGTTCATGGCTTATAATGCTTTAACAAGGCCTTTTTAAATCCCTGTGGAAAAATGAGTGGAAAAAATACTTCCGGAACCACTCTATTGTGTCACTTTCTCGCTCTTTAACCTCTCCTTGCGCTAATTATATTGCAAATGTCAAAAAGCGGGGTGCTAAGTGTGGTAACCGGTTCTTAGTCAGTCTGACAGCTGTCTCCTGTAAATGTGACTGTGTACGTGTACAGAATCTCAACACTACGGTGGGGCAGGACTGGTGCATGGCTCTTCAGAGGCTCATCCGCATCAAAGAGGATGAGATCCAGTGTGCCAACAAGTGTCGTCTACGGCTGATGGTTCCTGGGAAGCCTGACAAGTGAGTGCCGACTACCCACTAATGCCAGTGGGCACAGGTTACACAAAATAGAGCTGTGCATTGAATTCCCCTCAAATGTGGGTGGATGTGACAGTTACACTGACTGAAACATATTCATCCGTTTCATCACACTTGTACCAGAAGGATTTAGATTTCTTGGATTTGTCTTGGACAGGCTCAGTCCCCAGAGCCACAAGACTTTTGCTGATCTTTTGGAGGTTTAAACACAGGCTGAACAGCTTTTAAGATTCAAGCTTTTCTTAAAATCTAATGGACCATTATGGTTTAAGGCAGGGGTCTTCAACCTTTTTCAGGCCAAAGACCCCCTTGGTGGATAATGAGACCGAGCACGGACACCCTGTTACATACAGCCTTTAAAATGTTTTATTATTATTATTAACATTGATAAGTATTTTGAGCACCAAATCAGCATATTAGAGTGATTTCTGAAGAATCATGGGACACTGAAGGCTGGAGTAATGGCTGATGAAAATTCAGCTTTGTCATCACAGGAATGAATTACATTTTAAAATATATTACAATAGAAAAGTTATGTTAAATTACAATAATATGTCAGTTTTATAGTTTTTACTGAATTTTTATTTAAATAAATGCAGCATATTCATTATTTTAACATTTACTTTATACACTGTAGAGTGGGAAGCACAATAAAAGCTTTTGTTGAAATCAACTCATTATTGTTTAGTGCATATTTTCCTTTTTTCAAAAGAATTATTTTAAGATCAAACAGTAATTGCCAGACCCCCTGCCGTACCACTGTGGACCCCCTGTTGAAGACCCTTGCATTAAGCTGAATTGTGTTTTTTGTTGTTCTTTTTTCCTTTTAGCAGGCAGAAATTCTTTTGGCTCTTGGCACAAATAGAGCTGTACATACTAATTTTAGTCATGCATGGAACTGAAAGAGGCTTTGTTTCACTTGGATTTTGATTGTGTTGAATCCCTCTAGGATTTTCACATTTTGTGCATGTGTGTGTGTGTGTGCATACATCCCTTGACAGGTCTGGCCGTCCAGTCAGTTTCACAGTGGTCTTCAGTACGCCCAGTCCAATTAGCAAAATCTCCTGGGTCAATCGCCTGCATCTGGCCAAAATTGCCCTGAGTAAGTGTGGCATCTCTGGCTTGAGTAACATATTGTTGACATGAATCTTTCACTTATTATTTTCATGGATTCATTTTCTTGTGTGTAAAAAGCTTTGAGTTTAAGTGACAGTATTGCGCCTCTGGCTAAGCTTATTACCGTTTGTGTAGGAGATGAAAACTTGCCTGGCTGGGTGTGTGTAGAGGACGATGAAAAGACTAAGCCTCCATTCTGGTGCCCGTTACTGGCCTGCCAATTGGCTGTGTTTACCCCAAAAATGCAAGATCTGAAGGTAAGTGATAGACAACCAACCAATTTGTATTTGTGTAAACTTAAGAAAGAACACTATTCAGCTACACACAGAAGTCATTTTATGTCGTTTTTTATGTTTTACCAAAAACAACTGAAAAATGAAAGTTCTGTTGTCATTATAAGTGAATTGTGAGTGGTTAAATGTAAGCCTGACTTGTTGTGCAGAAACATTTGTATTAAATTAGCAAAATGGAAGCATATTCACTAATAGTCTCAGACTTGTGATCCCCACTTGATGTGTTATACTTTAGCTTTTATGAAACTCTTGAAACTGACTTGTCAATGTACCAGCAGAGGCCATTTAGTGCTGCAAAATAAATGGCCTCCTGTGGTAAATTGAGAAGTTATTTTCAAGAGTTTCATACGAGCTATTTGTATTTATGGAAACTTAAGAAAGAACACTATTCAGATACACACAGAAGTCATTTTATGTTGTTTTTTATGCGTTTTACAAAAACAACTCAAAAATGAAAGTTCTGTTATCATAAGTGAATCGCGAGTGGTTAAATGTAAGCCTGACTTTTTGTGTTCTACCTGTAGGAAAGAAAAACTATAAATGAGATCGGGTGTGTGTTCACGGGGTGTGTGTGTGTGCACTTGGATGGGTGAAATGCAGAGCACAAATTCCGAGTATGGGACACCATACTTGGCCACACGTCACTTCACTTTTTTTAGGAGAAACAGCTAGACAGAGTTGATATTGAAATGTCACTTCAAATTCTTAACTGCGAACTCTTGAAAGAGCAACCTAAGTGCAGTGTTTTTCTTAGAGCTGCAGGAAAAACTTTTCCTTTGGGTAGTCAGTGTTTGATCTCAGACAAGGCAGACTGTACTCCGATTTAGATTCAGACATTCATTGGTATGCATGTGGTAGACTATCATTCACTGCTTGCTTGGCCAAAATGCTAAGCTTTTATCTGCTCTATCAGTTACTGCAAAACATGGTGGATTGGCAATCTTTCTGTCATAGTATTTGCAGTCAGACATGGGTGTCTGAATCACAAACACATGTTGCCTTACATTTGCATTTAGCTTTGATCTTCTGTTTTGTACGGCATTGCTGTTTTACACCTCCAGGTCGGTGTGCAGCTTCAAACATTTGGTATGCATGTGGTAGACTATCATTCACTGCTTGCTTGGCCAAAATGCTAAGCTTTTATCTGCTCTATCAGTTACTGCAAAACATGGTGGATTGGCAATCTTTCTGTCATAGTATTTGCAGTCAGACATGGTGTCTGAATCACAAACACATGTTGCCTTACATTTGCATTTAGCTTTGATCTTCTATTTTGTACGGCATTGCTGTTTTACACCTCCAGGTCGGTGTGCAGCTTCAAACATCTGGTCAGTACTTTCGATCTACAGGACTTCACAGTTTTATTCAAGACCTTCTGCTGGTCCAATTTTGATTATATTTATTAGCAATAGTTCTGTTCTCCCATTGGATTTCATTGCGTTACTCTTATGATTTGTCATTGAATTACAGTTTTGTTGAGATTAGTATCTCATATTCATTCTCAATGAGTGGCTCGTTGATTTCTGTAGTGTATTCAACGTTGTTTTTGCAGGTTCTGTTAATTTGTCACTCAGATACTGTTATCTAGCTGGCTAACAGATGAGGTTTTGTCAAAAAATTGCAATAATGACTTGTGATAGTCATGAAAGCATCAGTAAGCATATGCTGTAAGCTCCAAACCATGTTGTTCAGATGGCACCGTTTTCCAGGAAAAATGTGTTTATAAATGTATGGATTTACAGTATAGCTGTATAAGTTTCAATTATAATTTTCTGTATTTTCTTTTTGTAATGAAGAAAAATGGTTGTAAACAAAACCAATAGCTCAAATGTAATATAGTCCAATATGTTTTACCAACACACATCAGTATAGTTTATGACCACATTGTTTCATTGTCCACAAACGTTCTGGTTCATTAGCTGTCTTCCTGACAACTGTGAAATGATTTTTTGTGTGGTCTTCCCAAATCCCTAATATCCCATAGCAAGTGTATTTCATAGGAAGCAATATGACAAATGCTTCACAACTCATTTGCTGCCTGTGTGTTCACTTTATTATTCTCAAAATGTGATGCATTCACCCTTTAATGATTGCTTTCCATACCGCTATCAACTCTGGATGAGTGGCTGATGCGTCTTCTGGATGCTTTGGGTGTCGCTCTTACAGCTACAAACCTCACATGCTCATCTGATCCAGATCCTGCATCTAATGTTTTTGATGTCTCTTGTCGGTGGATGTTCTTTTTGCCTGGGATGTGTAGTACTTTGAAGTCATACGGTTGCAGCCTTAGGACCCATTGTTCAGAGCAGGCAGAAGGTTTAGATTAAGGACTAAATATAGTCCCTATAGTATTTTGGTCTGTGATCAAATCAAACTTTCTCCCAAAAGCTAAGGCTTCACTATCTGTATGCCTATATTTGCATTCAGTCTGCCTGCGATTCACCGAGCATGTATACATATTTCCTCTTTGGTACTGAACAAACACCCGTCTTAACCTACGGAATGTGCATCTGCTTTCATCTGCATTCTGTCATCATCCTTTTTGAAGTATACTCCAGTGCCAGCCTTGCCCAAAATGAGTTTGAATATGTTGCTATACTGTAGCTCACAAGTCCCAAGAAGAAATGTCTTCATAGCTCATGTGCTTTTTGCAGTTGATTTGATTCTTTGCTTTGTTGACAAAACTTCCATGAAGTTCGATATACTTGCTTAAGTGAAAATATACTTGGATTTGAAGTTTAGTTATGAAACATTCCCATTAAAGCTGCAGTGAAACTAAAGTAGCAACAGATCTTTTCTTCCATATTGTGCAGATATCCGAGTGTAGCAGACTATTAAAAAAGAAACCAATGTGCCAAGAGCGTTTTTTAGAAATATATATGTATATACACACACACCTACAGGTCAAAAGTTTGGAATCATTAAGATTTTGAAAGACGTGCTCACCAAGGCTGCATTTATTTAATAAAAAATAAAACAAGAACTTGTAAAATTTTATTACAATTTAAAATGACAGATGTCTATTTAAATATATTTTCAAATGTAATTTATTCCTGTGATGGTAAAGCTGAATTTCAGTGTCACATGATCCTTCAGAAATCATTCTAATATGCTTACTTCCTGCTTAAGAAACATTACTCATTATTATCATCAATGTTGTCTTTTAAGACCTCCAAATACAAAATTCTAAATACAAAAATGTGTAATGTTGTAGACATGGCATCTACCATCAGACGCTAACTGGACCATGCTAACAAACCCTGACCCCTTGCTTGCACAGCTTTCTCCTAGTGCATGACAGGCAAAGCCGTGAGCAAGCCAATTAAATCAGTGTAGAAAAATGGAGATCCTTATTTTCCAAGAAAAGTCCAAATTGGAACAAAGTGAATCAGTTGTCTTCTTCAGAAGGGAAGCTTCTAAATACTATATGAATGGAAGCATGTGTTTATAGTTTTGTACATACACAAATGTATGTTTGTGACAGAGTACATCTAAAGAGGTTCCTAAATATAACTTGCGTGACTTATGTAGGAGAAACTTTTTTGTGGGAAATGTTAGATGGTTTAAAGAGTGGGAGGGAAATACCTTCATTACTGCAGATTAAAGCGAGGAAGATCTGTGCCTGCTAGAGAAGATGCAGGAATAGACAAACGGATTCTTATGTGATGTGAAGTTGAGTCTGTGTGCAGGAGGAACACCCATGAGACAAATGTGGCTGTCTAAAATTGGTCTTCCCACATAACCCATCTCCACCCCATATTATCAGAATGCAAAAAATAATGAGTTTGAGAAGCATAAAGAAGGATTGAGGACACTAAAAATTGTCGGGTCATTAAGATGTCTTTCTAAAATGCTACAGTAAGATACAGCGGCGCAAAAGCCTGACACAGAACCTTGTATAAATAATTCCAGTAGGCTAATTCATGTACATATGAAATATTCTGCCTGTTTTTTCCATGGAGGAGAAAATGTGAATAAAAGCCGTGGCCCCAGTAGATTGCTTAAGATGAAAAGGGGCTCCATTCCCACTGTGCATATCCAGGAAGAGTGAGTTTGCAGCAAGTTTTGCACAGCAGAGTGCTGAGCATCAGGCTCACAGCAGGAGAGGGACAGTGGCAGCCTGCGATTCCCACGCAAGATCCTCCTCAAACACAATAAGAACCGTTTCATCTAAACAGGTCATCCTCTTACCATGAAACTGTGCTATAGGCTAATGTGTCATGACAATGTAATGGGTTCTCATTACATTACAGATAAAAGCCATCTATAGTAGTCCCCCAATTTTGTATAATGTGAATGATATTTTGGTCAACAATTTGCAACAAACCTGTACGAACATCAAAAAAGTAGACCTTTTTTCATAAATGTCATTATTTACATGTTATTAGAAGAAATGGGAACTGGAGCTTTCAAAGTTCAAAAAGCGTCATGTACTAGTACATCAAGTACTAGTGCTGCAAATAACTTGGGGTGAGGTATTACTTTAATAGAAAACCAAAAAGAAGTTAGATTTATCTGTATTTTGTCATGTCACACTTAATTGGTTATGAAATTGACTGGATGGATTTTGACATGATGATACATTCATTATTATGCGCCATTATGTTCAAAAACAAAACCCTTAAAACCTTAGTTTTAGTATACTTCTCGTGAGCTGTAATTATAAGCTGCTGTAGTTAATCTGAAGTTACGACAGTATGTGCTGAATTGTTGTGGTAAACAGTGTACTCTTAATTAAGATTAAAACAGTGTCATCAGGGGTGGGTTTGTCACCAGACATGTGGGCCCTGATGATTAAACCTGGAATAATAGCTTGTCTGGCTTGTGCATAAATTATATGTGAATGGCAATGGGTGTTTAATAACCTTATGTCTGTGTAATTTGAGCCAAAACACCCTGCAGTCAATTAACTTCGTTTACATCTCTTTCCAAGCAAGTGTTGGCTGTGGTCACCAGCTCTTTTAGATGTGCACTAACTCAGCATGTATCCAAAATATTCAATCCAAAATAAATAAATAAAAGTGTAATTCTGTTCTCTAGTTTCCATAATCCTTTGGCTCTGAGTTGGTGTTCTGAACACGCAAAAAAAAAATGATGTATTAAAAGTCTTGACATGAGAATGTCCCTTTAAGGCAGTTCAGTTCACTTGGCCGGCCAACCCCAGACAGCTATGTCTGTAATAGGTATGCAAGTACAGCTACTTCAATGATGAAAAAACACAGTTTGTCAGGATTATGTTTAAATGACCCTCAGCACTGGGCAAATTGACATCTCTCATGAGCACAAGTTTAAGGTATGTGAGTGACACTATGCCATTTTGATTAATATCAAATATTCCTGTAGTCAAGAGCAGGCTACTCTTAATGCTTGCCTTGAAATCGAGCCTCAAGATGCTTACTTTGAGGGTAAATGGAATAATATCCTGCCTTTTTGTTGATCGACTCAAAATTTTTGCTGATCACTTGTTAGTGTGCAGAATAAAACTGCAGTTGCACTAGAATGGTCCACTGTACTTATCTGCATCCCACATTGCAGAAGCAGAATTATAGTGTTAGACATACAAAGAGACGGTAAAACTGCATATCTGTCAGAAAACAGAAATAACACAAAAAAGTGTGTGTGTATACGAACATACATTTTGTGAAATGTTATAATAATGTAAAATAATTGATTCTTTTTGAATATATTTAAAAAATGTATTTTTTTTTTGTGTAATGGCAGTACTGAATTTTCAGCAGCTATATAACATTCTAATATGCTGATTTGATGCTCAAGAAACATTTCTTCTTATTATTATTTTTGAAAATGAGTTTTAAAAAGAAAAGAAAAAAATACGTAATACTTTTATTCAGCAATTAAATTGGTCAAAAGTGACAGTAAAGATGTTTATACTGTTATGAATATACTTTTTTTTTTTTTACTTCTTATTCCAGAATCCTGAAAAAACAAAACAAATGTATCACTGTATTTGCAAAAATATTACCAAAAGTGACAGTAAAGATGTTTATACTGTTATGAATATACTTTTTTTTTTTTACTTCTTATTCCAGAATCCTGAAAAAACAAAACAAATGTATCACTGTATTTGCAAAAATATTAATCAGCAGTTTTCAACATTGTTAATAATTATAAATATTTCTTGGGCAACAAATCAGCATATTTGAATGAAGGATGATGTGAAGACTGGAATAATGGCTGCTGAAAATTCAGCTTTGCCATCACAGGAATAAATTACAATTTAACATATAAGAGACTTCCTTCAAAAACATAAAAAAAATCGTAATGTAGCATGTGTATATAGCAATTTAAAATAATTTTTTTATTTTATTTTATTTTATTGTTTTTTTTGTGTGTGTTGTAATTTTCAACTAATTTACAGAGCCGCATTTTTTAATGTTGATTTCCAAAAGTGATCTCTTCATCTTGTTTTTTGCAGTTGCAGGCTGCCCTGTATAACCCGGTCCACTGTTCTCTTCTTGGTTTTTCTGCCGCTAGCACATCCTTGCCTCAGGGCTACCTCTGGGTAGGTACACTTTGCACAATGAGAACATCTTTTCTTCTTTATAAATCATCACTGCACTGGTGCAGGAAATTGTAATATCTCTGTACATGTCTGATGGTGCACTTCCCTCACCTCACCTCTGATGCACCTTAGGGGAAACAAATCATCCACAAACATTTGAATAGTCCACCTCTAACCAGGGCTGTCATCAGGCCAGTACAACTGAGGACATCCTGAGCTCCTTACTTAAACTTACTGATAATATGCCAATTTCCCAGACCTCCAGTATCACATTTTACTAAGTAGTCATTTAGCAGATGTTCTTTTATCCACATAGAGTATACTTGCTCAAAGGCACAATGGAAATAGCTCATGGGTTTGAACCTCTAGTCTTTTAAGTACTACACCACATTAAATATAATTTGCCTCAGCACAGTATTCAGTTTATATTTAAGCAATATTTCATAAGCAAAGGTGATGTTGTTCTGAATACTCATTACACTTTACAGTGCAAGTCAAATTAATTAGATATTACGCATAACTTGTATTTTTACAGCACTATGTTGTAATTGTGTCCCATCGGGTAATCAAAAGTTCTACACATACTTGCAGTCTTTACGCCTATTTGAATACTTGGGCCAAATTCAGGAAATACATCATGTAAGTAGACAAGTGGTTAAGCGCAAAAGACTGCAAGTGTAGGTATTATTTAGGAGAGGCCCATTATCACTTGTTTTATTCCTGAATTAATCGGTTGAATGAATGATTCAATGACTCATTCATAAGTTGTCGCCACTTGCTGGCTTAACAATGTAACATTCAGAAGGAAGCACTTAAAAATGTAGACAAACTGTGAAAAGTCCCAATTTGTTTGGAGGATTTTAACTAACTTGTATAATTTCCAACATAAAAGTTTCCAGGCCATGAACCAGTTCTTAATTCTGACTGAATCACAACTCCTACATTGAAATGTACTTTTCTGTGATATTTTTCTTTCGGCTTACAGAGATTTTCCACCTGAAGTAAGTGATGTTAGCAGGAGCTCCTCAAAAAAAAAACACTGTTAGAATAGTTTGATCGACGTTTCAAAGAAAGAGGGAAGCAGGATTAAAAGTTTCTCGAAAGGCAGCTCTAGAAACAAACATCAAGTATTCCACATCAAAAGCCATTCTATAAATCTCATGGCTGTGCTTCCACATTTTTTCCCCATCTTTTTTGCTTGCAGCCTCTCAGAGGGCCATGTCAGTGAGGGCCATGCCCTCCTTCTCATGTTTGTTTTCTTTTGTTGTCTCTTCGACTGCACAGGTGGCTAGTGGGGGTGACGACTCCCATGGGCAGGTGGAGATTTTCTCCCTTAACAGACCCACGCCACGCTCCGTTAAGAGTTTCTCTCTAGCTTCCCCAGTGCTTTGTCTGGAGTACATCACAGAGCCCAGCACTGATGAAGAACTGGAAACACAAACCTCTGAAGTTCTTTCCAAGATCGGCAACACCATCTGTGTAGGATTATTGGATGGCAAGTAAGTCTGAATACATATCTGTATTGGTCTGGAATAATTTGAGTCATTACATTGCTAATTTTATGCAGTCAGCCAGTACTAATGTGCTTCTTTGCCAGAGAAAAGCTCTTGATACTTTGTGTGTGTGTTTCTCAAGCATCCTGGTTTATGGAAGCGTGGACACTGCTGCTCAGTGTCTGCTAACATTTTGTAACCCCGAGGGCTGCCCAGTTCTGTGCCTAAAACACTCTGCCAACTTTCTCTTCGCTGGACTAAGTAATGGAAAAGTCGCAGTTTATAACCGAAAGAGTGGAGGTAGAATAATTTCAGTGCAATTTTTTGTGTAAATATCGATTAAAGGGATAGTTCACTCAAAAATGAAAATTCAGTCATCATTTCACTCTTCTGTTGTTCCAAAACATGACTTTCTTTTTTCTGTGGAACATAAAAGAAGATAAATGGTCACCAAAACTGTTTGGTTACCAACATTCGTCCACAGATTCCACAGAATAAAGTCAAGCAGGTTTGGGCATGAGGGAGAGTAAACAATGACAGAATTTTCATTTTGGGGTAAACTATACCTTTTATTAATTCTACAATATTACATTTAATAAATTCATTTTTTTTATTTACTTTGGATTTACATTTGCAGGAAACAATATGTGAACTGGATTTCTGCATAAATTGGTCATAAAATTCCATAAAATCAACAAAAAACAAGCGCAATGTGTTTAAACACAACACAAAAGCGATGATGCATTTGCATGTCTTTATTGGGCACGCCATGTAAACAGTCACAGGGCAGGGTGGGGAAATAAAGTGTTTCCTCTTTACAAAATCATTTCAGTTCAGCAGTATTCTTCAGGTTGAGGTCAAGACTGGGCCACATCAGATGGGGTATTTTATTGTTGATTTAGTCCTGGGACTGGGATCACCGTCCCGTTGAACCGCTCAACTTCGGAGTTCCAGCTGGCAAACAGATTACCTTACATCCTGCTGCAAACTGACCTGATAAACTTAGGAAGTGATTTTTCTGTCAATGAACGTAAGCTGGCCAGACCTTGAGGCTGCAAAGCCCCATGATGTCCCTCCATTCCAGTTTTTCTGAAGAGCTACTAACTACTTTCAAACACCTTTGGCTTCATCTGTCCACAGGATATTTCGCCAGCAGCACTGGCAAAAATATCCAGGTGCTCTTTTGCAAAGGTTTTTTCATATACACCTTCAGGCCCATCTAAATGTTGGGATTTCAGTTTAGCCAACATACTCTTATGGCAATTTGTACCTATTTTACGTTTTTGGCAAAGTGAAGGATAATTTGTATAAATTTGTATGATCTCATATACGTTTTTGTACAATCTGCTTACGCCCCATTGGCAGTTAGGTTTAGGTGTGGACTTTCATGCTTACGTTTTTTCTAAAGATCGCTTATTTCCGTACAAATGACATAATATTAGTTTATACAAAATCAGCACTTCGTAAAATAGTTATGTTATGTAGATCGGGTTGGGTTAGCGGACTCCAAAAATGAAAGTTCTGTCATCATTTACTCACTTCATGTCTTTCCAAATCTGTATAACTTTATTCTTCAGTGTAAAATGAAAGAAGATACTTAGAAAAATAGAAAAACTCCAGGTAAAAGGTCCACATATTTTTTCCTGCAACTGTATACAGCACTAATGCCGCATGTTTGATATTGCTTTGTGCTTATGACAATATAGTTTTGAGTGTTTTTTTTTTTCATTTACTAGTTTGATAGAAAAAAGTAATACTAAGTTAATTCTCTTCAATTTGAATTGATCCTCTCTGAATCTACTGCTACAATTTCAAAGATGTGTAAATATTAGCCATTTCCAGTAGCACCTCTAAATCCAGCATGCATTTTGCGGTTACAGAGGGGTTTTGGGATCCAGATTCCTGCAGACATGTGGTTATTGGATGTGCGCCTGTCCTCAAACTCCTCCAAATAGACGAGTGTGTGTGGGCCAGCTGTGCCAACCAGGTCTCTGTGATTGAAGGCTCCTCTCTCAGGACTCAGGTATCCTTCTCCTCTGAGAAATGCGTTGGTGAAATTAGAATGTGTTGAATGTGATTCCACCATTTTCACAATGAAGATGCAGCACACAACTGCTTTTCTTAAGACCGTATGAGTCAAAAGAGTGAACTGTCATGTCACATGTTCTGTAACAAAGGTTGGTTTAGGAAAGCTTGAAATTATTCTTTTATTTCAGAGTTTTACATTTCATTTCTCTGTTAAGACGGCTTCCCGCGCTAGATGCATTATGAGAGAGCATCTTAAGCAACACATAAAAGGTATCCTCCCTGTAGAAGCCCAACAGCATGTTAGGATGCTAGCCTTTGATCACTTGTGACAGCTGAGCCAACCTCTCTATTTTGCCGCAAGGAGCGCACCCTCCTTCTGCCTTCCTGATGCTTAATATCAGGATTAAATTCAGCTCTGGAAATTGGACGTTTAGTTCAACCGGAAGATAAGATGTGGGTAGGCAAATGGACATGTCATCCTGTTTTCATTTGCAGGTCAATAGTTGTTTGCATCTATAGAAAATGCAGAATGTAAGAATTTATCTGTTGTAAAACTAAAGCAAGGTCCAGGAAGTACAAAAGGAAGTACAGGCATAGCCTGCAATTATATGGCCCCATTAGTATGTAAGAAGGCAACAGTAATATTGTGAAATGTTATTACAATTTAAAATAATTATTTTTAATATATTTTAAAATTCAAAAATATCAAACCATCATTTGGTCCAACAACTATGGTTACTAATAATGTGTATGAATATATAAGATATTTACGCTTGACAGCTTACCGTAACTTTTATCTTTTGTATATTTTATCTTAGAAAAATACCATATTTTATATATATAAAATATTATAATTGCCTCTTACTGTTGTTTTCTTTTGACTTAAATGATCCATTTCCCAAACATTCTTAGTGGGTTTAAGTGGATTATTTACTAATTTAAGCTTTTATGGTTTTCCTTAACAGTTGGCATACTGGACTGTGATGTAATATGCCTAGACTTATATGTCCAAACAGACTTTCATTAGGCAGAATATAATCTGACATCGAATAATACCCACTCTAGAGCACTACAGTCTACAGTCTTGGCCTAAACTTTGATGTTTAGCTTTGATTTTTTTTGTGTCTAAATCTATTATTCCTCTTGCTCTTTCTTGTTTTTATGCATTTTCATCATTATTTTGTATTTTTTTATGATTCCCAGAGTTTCGAAGTTCATCCAGACCCCATGGTTAGTGTGACGCACATGGTGCGTGCTGGAGGAGGGGTGTGGATGGCGTTTTCAGAGGGATCATCCCTACGTCTGTTTCACACAGAAACATTGGAACACCTCCAAGAGATCAACATTTCAACACCCTCTGCATATCTGAGCCGTGGCAAGTCCAACATGTGAATTTGGTGCAGGATATGAATTCTGCAAGATAATGTTTTAGCACACAGGTCCTGAAAGGGGCAAAAATGTTTGCAACTGAGCAGGAGTTGGTAGAAAAATTTATAAATGAAACATCAAATAAAATTAAGTAAAACATTATTTAATTTTAATTATCAATTAATCATATTTTCTTCATAGGTCAAAAATCTGTGTGTGTAACCAGCCTGCTTATCTGCCAAGGACTGCTATGGGTGGGCACAGCTCAGGGCATTATTGTCACCCTGCCAGTGCCCAGACTGGAGGGCATTCCCAAAATAACAGGTGAGCCACAATTTAAACAAACAAAGCATTGCATCTAAGCCTTCTTTTTGTTACCAAACACAAACTGTCCCTCTTTCCCATCAGGCAAAGGGATGACGTCACTTAACGCTCACAACGGCCCTGTTGAATTCTTGGTTGCCACCTCCAGCATTTTATCCCAAGATTTTCTGAAGCGGGATTCTACCACGGAGGGTGTGGATTCAAGTGGTGGAGGTGAAGATAAGAAGGTGAGAAATTCCTCTCAGGAGTCCCTCCAGCAGGCGGATGGCTCTCCTCAGGCCAAAGCTAAAGGAGTGCTACTGCAGTACCACCTCCGTTCTACCTCTCAGCTCCCAGGAAAGCTCCTGACGGCCCGGCCCGAAGAATCATCCGACTCGACCCAGGACTCTCTGGAGCACACCCTAGAGGACGGTTCTATCTATGAGCTAAGTGATGATCCCGAGGTTTGGGTCAGAGGGCCTGGGCCATCATCAAAGGAAGCGGCACGTAGGGAGAAAGTGACTTCAGCTGCCGTTATATCCGGTGGAAAAGGGTTCCGTCGACTCGCTAAATCCTCCAACTCCCCTGACTCCAGTGAGAACACGCTCATGGTCTGGCAGCTGCCCATTACAGTTTGAGGCAGTGATGAATTCTTCTTCCTTTGGCTTTCATCAGGAGTTTTTGCAGTGATGGAGGATTGTTGGATCATTGAAGGACAAACAGACTGTATGGCTTATGACAGGGGTGGCGAACGTCGGTCCTGGAGAGCCGCAGCCCTGCAGAGTTTTGCTTCAACCCTAATCAAACACACCTGAACAAGCTAATCAAGGTCTGAAGGGTTACTAGAAAGCTACAGGCAAGTGAGTTTTAATTAGGGTTGGAGCGGTACTCTGCAGGGCTGCGGCTCTCCAGGACTGGAATTCGCCACCGCTGGCTTATGAGGATTATTTATTCCTCTTCTCCTCCAGAGGGTTTTTAAGGAATATTCCAGATTCAGTAAAAGTTAAGCTGTGACAGCATTTGTGGCAAAATGTTGATTTGCCTGAAAAAAATGTCCTTCATTAAAAAAAAAAAATCTTGGTTATTGTGAGGTCCTTACAATGGAATGAAAAAGGCCAATCTGTAAACATTAAAATAATCCCTGTTTCAACAGCATAGCCACAGGACTTAAAACAATATGTGTTAACATGATTTTAGTTTGAAAAAAATAAAACTGCTATTACAGTGCAGCACCGTAAACCTTATAATGAAAATAAATGATAAGAATATAATGAATAAATGATTTAGAGCTCAAATAATACACGTTTTAACAGAAACAATTAAATCACAATTAAATTATAGGCTGCACAATTCTTCTTTTAAATCCTAAATTGGCCCCATTCACTTGCATTGTAAATGGCTCAGCGTAACCAACATTTTTGCTTTTTTTTTTTTTAAAGAAAAGAAAACTAGCGACAAGTTAAAATAATTATTTTACTATTTTGGTGGTAATACCCATAATGCCACAAATGCTTTTAAGGAAGCCAGAATATTCCTTTAAGTTAATAAACAACCACGCCATTTAATGTTCATCTGTCATAATAACAGCATGTGCTTGGTATATAATGCACCACAACTGAATATAAAATAATCTCACCTTTTGAAAATATTACTAAATGACTGATACCACCAAATGATCTGCATGCGAGGAATCAGGGTAAATGTTGTCATTTGTTTGTTTTTTTTACAAAAAGTAATCCTTAGTATGTATCTGAGTATTGGCTGTGACCCAGTTCTTTCTTGTTTAAATTATAAAATATATTTTTTATGCAGCACCACCAAAGCGGTGTGCACAGAAAAGTAAGGTAGCTGAATATTCGGAGTCAGTCTATTTAAATGTGTTTTAATGTTATTTTAGTGTGAAATGTGATAAGGAGAAGTGAAGTCTTCGCTGTAGGTACTTGTGTCTGATGGTTCTCGTTGTTCGCAGTGTCACTTTGTTAAAAAAAAATGAAATCATATTTACAGTGATTGAAGTTTTTGCAATTTTTCCATTACTATTTCATTTCATTTAAAAGCATTTAATTTTAAACTGACTCAACATTAAATGGTATTGTGTGTGAAGACCTGCTGTAAATGAATATTGCAGAGTAATATTTTATGTTGAATCTCAGCATATTTTCAGACTTTTATCTCTGGGCAGCCACTGCCAGCTCTCACAGTAAACATATCAGCAAACGCAGTATGGCGCAGCTCAGGCAGCGGCTAATATATGCACATTGTGACACCAGTGCTACGTGAAGAGGATGCCAAATCACGTCTCTGGCAGACGCGGAGTAAAACTGACATGTCAGGATTTAAAGGAGCTGTATAACAGTCACTCATTGTTCTGGTAGTAGATGTTTTTGCTAATTTAATCTAATTTTGTGCAATTCCTGTTGTGCTATTCAAGTAAATGACATGATGTATTTAATTCATTCTCAAATGCATCAGGCTAGGCTGTTATTGAATATAAAAGCTATTATGTTTGCAGAAGAGAAACTTTGGTTTACTTTCAGGATGGTGTTTTTCTCTATGACAGTAAGCTTCTTTTGTCTTGTGATTGGTAAGGAGCCTCATTTAGTTTGAAGAGCTGTTAACTATGCTTACATCAAAGGCTTCTAATTAGAGATGTTTGATTGCTTTGTGTCTAGTGGGAAATCAAGAATCTCGTTATTGCTAATTGAAGGACTTGATCAAGATAATGCCCCTCCTTTGTAAAACTTAAATAGCAGCACAATGTTCATACCTCTGTGACTATGGAGGATGTGCAAATAATTGTACTTAATTACAATGTGTGTTGATTTAAGATGCTCTGTTAAAAAAATCCTCTTAAATTTATGGTAAAAATAGAAACCATGTAGTTTCAAGTATATTGCTAATTCATAACCATTAATTTTTTTATATAATGTTAATATATAAACCTGAACTAAACAGCATAAAGTGTAACATAACACCCCCGATGTACATAACTGATAAAAATTAACTATTTAAATAAAACATTTTAATTAAAATTAAATTAAATTCTGAATGTCATACACTGCATTTTTTGACCCACAAAAATCATACTTTGTACTTATTTTTATTTTATTAATATGTATGTTTTATTTTATAGTGTGTGAGCAATTAACACGTTTTTCCTGTTGCATTTTTACATTATTTTTTACATTACGTTCTCTTAATGTTTTTACAATGTGGGTTGTGCTTCACTGTTTTTTTTTTCATTTTTTAAATATAAGAAAATAAGAAAAAGAAAAGAAAAAAGAAACTGCTGAGAGAGAGAGAGAGAGAGAGAGAAAAAAAGCTTATCTGGAAAAATGTCTGACCTGATCCTCTGTGATCACAATACACTGGGAGTAGCCTAGTATCTAAATGTCATGGTGTACCATAGGCAATTTGCGGGTGGGACATGTCCCCAGCACTTTTTGCCAAAGTCGAATCTGTCCACAGCACTTTTTGAAAGCCGCTGAAAAAAAGCATGCAGAAGGCTTATAACGCAAAGTAAAAGTGTCTCCGATCTGTCTCCATTCGTTCTTCATAATTAGCTAATTCATTCATGTAACATGAAATATATTTGCGCCAGTCAGACAGGCCTGATCTATAAACCTTGTCACACACATATCAGCATTTATAAACCGTAAACGGCGTAATGTTATGAGCAAAGAGCGCTCCCTTTATAATTACTGACAAGCTGTCACTAATCTTATCGTGATCAAGTTCTGTTAAAATCAATGAATCTCTTATTTAACGTTACATCATGTTTACACAAGTGCAGTAGCCTACCCAGCGCGGACTAAATCAACGCATTTTGAGCAGTGAGCTGCTGAAAAAAAAAAAACTAAAACCAGCCTAAACTGGTTGGCTGGTCTTAGCTGGTTTAAGATGGAAGCAGCTGGTTTTAGCTGGTCTCCCAGCCCAACCAGCTAAGGAATGGGCCAAAACCCCTCTAAAACCAGCCTGCTGACCAGCCTAGACCAGGCTGGATGACCAGCTAAAACCAGCAAACCAGTTTAGGCTGGGTTTAGCAGTTTTTTTCAGCCTTTAATGCCTTTGATTGGCCATTGCATTCATGAAATCAACAGATGTGTCTGACTGAATGGTTACATTACTCAAGGCAAAACACGTTGGAAATAGAAACCTTTGACGCTTTCCAGAGCACAGACAAATACGCACTGCTAGCCAAATAGGTTAGGTAGGTTAACCAAATAGGTTAGGTCAATATGTTATTATTACAGCTTCAACTGAAGACGCTTACCCATATCAACTCCGTAAAACCAGGCCTGCGGGGAGGATTGCTTGGCTGTCAAAATTCTGTACTGCAGAATTATACTTTAGAAATCATGAGTCTGAGCGCAAAGAAAATATTTTTATCTTAAAAATGATCAGTGAGGCGCAATTGATTCAGAGGATGGCTTAAACACACTGCCGGTGTAGTGCCGAAATTTGCACCCTGCCAGATTATGCACCCCCTAATATTGGTAGGTTTAGGAGTAGGTGTGGGGGAGGGGTTAGGATTAGGGGTGGGGTTGGGATTAGGCAATCAGGTAGCGACTTCAACGAGGGGGTGCATAATCTGGCAGGGGTGCAGAATTCGATTTTTAGTTTTTTGTTTGTTTTAGTATCAATATCTGGCAACACTGCATCGCCGGTGTTGTGCCCATTTTCGACCCCCTGTCAAATTATTACCCCTCTCCTTGAAATCGCTATCTGATTGCCTAATCCTAACCCCACACCTAACCCTAAACCTACCAATACTAGGGGGGTAATAATAATCTGGCAGGGGTGCAGAATTCGGCACAACACCGGTGTTCTGACTATTTGTGCTACCCTGTCAGATTTAGCTACCTCTCATTAAAACAGATGGTAGCATAATTCGATAGCGAAAAGTGCTACCTATCAGATTTTGCTTCCAGCATGATATTAATAAGGTGTGTGAGGCTTTATTAACATGTACACCTACCCCAACCCTTCTCTCTTCCATTACACAGCTATTAAAATAGTTCAGTTTTGGTTTTTAATGGCGAAGTGGTCATATTTCTTTTTGTTTCTTTGTTAAGTTCATTTAGAAATATGTTTGGAATATTTTATGTTTGTTAAGTTCAAGTTTTTGTTTTTTAAAGGAACGACCAAACGGCAGCGGCAGACAGTGAGTTGAGCATTATGTTTGATCAATTTAGCCTTCTCAAACCAACACGACTTGCCTAAAATAAACAGACATAAAACACTTCATGCATTTCACAGTATTAATTTAAAGGACTTGAAAACTTTAAACATTTCCAAGCATTAGTCTATAGCCTATAGCCTACCCTAAATAAAACCGCTTGTGAATAGTCACGATTCACGTAACTGTATTTACTTCCAAAAAATCAACAACAAGGGCCTAAGTTAAGTTAACCGAGTTGGAGCCCATAACGTTTGGGGGGGCCCGTACACATTTTTTTGCATATGGGCCTGAGACTGACTCGCTACGCCACTGAATAAGACTGATGTACCCGCGTTGTAACACAAATAAATGTAAGGTTTTGGGATTTTCCCCTTACTTTAAATGCATGCTGATGGCTCATTATTATTAATCGGAAAAAAAAAATTCATAACTTTGAACTTTTATTAACAAAATAAATAAGGATATGTTTAACTCGCGTTTAACACAAATACATAGCCTATGGATTTCCCCTTAGGCTACCTTAAACCAATCGTAGTTTGTGGTTTATTATCTTAAAACACATCAGCCATAAAATAGTACAATGG